TTCATGTTCTGGTAGTTAATATTGAATAACAAGCCCTCTCACCACAGGTAAATCACATGTCGATTCACATTTTTCAGTGGGACACATAGCATTACTTAAAATGCTTTTATAATTGTCACTGAAGACCAGAGTATTTAAAGGGAAAAAATCTGGGAATAAAAAATTATTAATATTAGTGATAAAGGTAATGGCAAAACTGGTTTTTCATGTTTTATATTTTAAGTAGCATTTCACAGAAGTGCTTCTGTGTGCATATGTGTGTGTGTGTGTGTGTGTGTGTTGATTTTACCTTTTAATAAAACCTTAAAATATTATCAAAGGTCATGTTTAGAACTTAAAAACTAACCATGTCTGTGGAAGTACAATGTAAGTATTTGTACTGTGACATATTTGACACATTTGGACATGTCCTATTATCAGTATTTACACTTTTACTTTCTTTATGATTTTGGTATTAGAAAATAGTACCCTCAATGAGATGAATTGTCATAATGACTTCAACAGTGCACTCAAACAAGGAATGACTTTAAGAATAACATAGAACCAGACAGTGTTTCATTCTGTCATACATTGGGTCACGATGAGTCAGAACCAAGTCAAAAATACTCAAACACAACAACAGCAACAACAATAGGATTGAAGTAGCTAAAATGTATTTTAAATATTAATTTTAGCTAAATTGTATTTTCTAAACCAAAGTAGATAATCATTTTCATGTTTTTAATTCCTAATTTCAGCTTTGGTATCTGGTTTAGTATGGTAGACCTTGAATAAATATTTGTGACTTGAAGATAATTCTTGAGTTGCATAACTGTGTCCTAATTGAGCTTAAACCATTTCAAAGTCATTTTCCTGTGGTATTCTTTTCATAATTGCTATCAGGGTCAGTCCTAAACTGCAAAAAGAAGAGTTAGTCATGAAGTGAGTATCTAGCAATCAGCTCTCCATTATGCGAGCCAGAATGTATTTCAGAGCTAAAGTCACACCATTCAACCAATGTATGTTTGCTGATGAGTTTTAAAGAAAGCCACACTCTGTTATGCCCAGAATCTCTTGTTCACAACAGGTTTACTTCTCCCAAATATCATTTTCCCTCCTGTGTTTTATTTAATTTATAGCTCACTAATTTCCCCATTTTGTTAGCTTGTTTTATACATTGAGTAGGATGTTGCTTTGGGGGAGTTGGTGATGGGACCTGCATTTTGTCTCAGCTGTTTTCTTAGTTTATAATGGTATCCTCATCTTCTCAAAATCTGTTCTATTCAGTCACTGACTCACTCACTTATTCCCTCAACAAATACATTGAGCCTCTGCATAATGTCAACCCTTATTTCTGTCCCAGTTTTTGCATGCATATGTGACAATTGAAAACATACTTGGGGCAGACACATCTTAGTTCTCAAAGTGACATCCTTGCTATTTTAATGCTTTGAAGAGATCTGTCGCAGCAGTTTTACCCCATGCAGTACATTACTATGAATAAGGATGACCAAAGAAGAATTGAAGGTTTTGAATCATGTTGTTGGTGAAGAATATCGAATATATCATAGACTGTCAGAGGACTTTGCAAATCTGTGTTAGAAGAAGTGCAGCCAGAATGCTCCTTAGAAGTAAGGTTGATAAGACTTGGTCTTAGGTACCTTGGAGTACTGATGTACTCTTTCTCTGTATTGCTTTTCTCATCTGACACTTTATGAAATGCCTTCTTTGTGAAATCCTCCTGGAGCTCTACCCCAGCCTCCAATTTCTCAGTTATCAATTGAATCCTATGTGTTCTGTTAGAACTTGATCATACTTACGTTAGTGAATTCATTAATCCATTCAGTAACTCAAATATTGATTTTAAAAGATGAAGTTCACTGTTCTCAGTGCTGTGTTAGAATTATATGCTAAATAGGACACAGCACGGGGAAGAGAGGGGCCCAGCTAACTTGGAAGTGAGGGAGACATGGGGAAATGTTTCTGTTAGAGAAAGATGTTTGGGATGAATCTCTTTTATTACACATGCCTGTGTTTCCTCCTCGAGACAAGAGATTTCTGAGGAAAAGAACCTTATTTTGATAATCTCTCATTCTGGTACCCAGTACAATGCCTGGCTCACACTACTCTCTGAATGTAGATATAAGTGAATGCCTTTATACATTTATTTTATTACAGCACTTTATACTTCACTATGCAATTTCTATGAATTATCTCATGAAGCGTTTATAATAGCTGTGTGGTAGATATTTTTACTAATAGTTAATAGAGCCTAAATTCAGAAAGGTTTAATGTTTTGCTCGAGTCAACCAGTGAATTAAAACGATAGTCCTCAGGTATTCTGCACCTAATCAAGTTCATTTTTTTCACTCTTGGAAACAAATAGTTAATTGTTAGTATCAATTTGAAGCATGTACATTAGAGATAAAGCATCAAGCCTGTCTAATCTCTCTGAGTGATGAAGGCTGTTCATTTATGAGAGCCAAATAAGAAGGTTCCTTTTAACAGAAGCAAAGAGATGGATCTTCCACTATGGTTTAAAGCTCCTTGCATTCCTGCCAACATAATGTTTTGACCCATCAGGTGCTCTAAAAATATTTAACTAATTGACAGTGGTTTTAAATGTGTAAATCACATTCACCTAAATTGGACAAGCTTCTTGTTTGAGGCTGTCATAAATTTTTACCTGTGTAATCAATGTGTCACGGGGGACAAAATTTGCCTGTGGTGTATTCTAATTAAGGAAAAAAAAGTTTTTAAAATCTAGGATATTTAAAAATATGCCTGCTTGGTTAATGGTTTCCTTAAGCGTCCTCTTCCCATTCTTTTAGCATTTGGCACCTTGAGTATAAGTCTGCCTAAGATCACTGTATGTAATCTCAAATTTGTAATAATAGGCTTTACTGGGAGAGTTGGTTCCTAACTACAGACTATACTTAAATCAGAGAGTGGTAACTCAGGATCTGCCTGATGCTGTAGCATTGCAGTGTCTCATAGACATTGAGTGCTTTTATATGAGACTTCTTGGTATTTCCTATCATGATAGTGTCAGCATTTTATATACAAATATGATGACCTAATGTCTCATTTATTAACCTTGCTGATGACTATGGTTGGAAGAAGTCCTGGTGTGGCACTGTGGGATAAAGGCTTGGCTTGAACCACAAGGTCTGTTCAAACTCACCAGCTGCTCGTTGGAAACCCTATTCAGAGTTGTTAAGAGTCAGAATCAACTCAACAGCACTTAACAACAACAACAAAGGATGAGGCATTGCTCATAGAAGTATAAAATTGCACATTTTCACATGAAGAGTCTACCTCACTTCAACAATGCTTCTGATACCAAAATCACTTGTGTTCTCAATTCCCTTCTCCCTCAATTCCCCAGTCACCGCCAGCAAATTCCTTTACATTTCATGGGAGGCTTCAAGCCACAAAGATATCCTGACTACTTGTTCCTCTAACTATTGCCATTGTTGTTAATTTCTGGTGAGTTGTTTCCAACTCATAGTGAGCCTGTATAGCAGGGGTGGGAAACGTCTGGCTCACAGGCCATGTAAGACTCTCGAAATCATTTGGTCTGGCCCTGCTAAGGCACCCGCAGTTCCAGCCATTGCATTATAGCAGGCTAATTTTTAAGTTGATAATTTTGTATGGCATGATGTTACAATATCAAGTAACATGATATTGTAGGAATGATGTTACAAATATCCAAATGGCCCTTAGCAGAAAAAAGGTTCTCTACCCCTGCATAGTGGTTACAAATCGGGCTGCTAACCTCAGGGTCAGCAGTTCGAAGCTACCAGCTGTTCTGCACGAGACAGATGAGGCTTTCTGCTCCTGTAAAGATTTACAGTTGGAAGCACTCCACAGCACACAACAACAACAACAACCCCTGCTGTATAGGGTTTCCAAGGAGCGAGTTGTATGTTTGAAAACCTTGCAGTTAGCAGCCCAGTGTTTACCCATCAATGCCTCACCAGGACTCACCTCTACCTAATACCTCACCTCAAATTCATGTCCATTATCTGTACAGTGACTTTTCAAGTGTTTCCCATCAGAGAACTAGACTGTGATTTAATGCTACTTGTGAGTGCAGTTCCTAATTTCTTGATAACTATGAGATTATGGCAAAGGAACAAGAGTCCTGTAAGATTTTATTGTCAAACCAGCAAGAGGATTTGGATTAAAAATAAATAAATAAAATTTCATGGAATTTTCAGTTTTAGAAGACATTTTTCTTCACTGTGCTTGATTAAGAATTTATAGCATAATTTCTGGAAGCACTTGATTTTTCCAAAACTCTGTAACCAGGAGACAGCATAAACCGTGGTGATTATTCAGAATGTGTGGCACGTAGAGAGTGCTTAGTGAATTTTTAATGGATGAGGGTGTGGACAAATGATTAAGGAAAAAATGATAGTGGTGAAAGTATTCTGAACTCTGTTTCTGTTTTTGCTTAACATGAATATATTTTTTGCTTTGTTTTTCTAAGAGCAGAAAGATAGACACACCTTTCACATTAACCATTACCAGAGAAATGCCATTAGTGCCTCTGCCTACCACCTAATGGCATCATAATCTACAGGAAATCCAAAATAGTGCTGTCAAAAGTGTCTCTAATTGAAGCCAGTGATGCTGATGATGTCTTTAGGAAAGAAAGAAATGGATGTCAGGGGTTGGTGGATTTCAGTCAAATATTTTTGAAATAACAATGAGCCACATTTCTGGAAAGGTTCTTAGCTGATTGTCTTATTGCTAATATGTCATCTACCAAATAATAAGCTAGCACGTCTTTACAGAAGTGACATATGCAATATTTATCTGAACTTTATCCTGCAACCATAGACAAACAGAGTAACAGTATATAAAGAGTCAAAGCCTTCCATTAATAAAGCTTCAATGAGTTTTTCTTGTTACTTCTTGCAGCAGTTCATTCTGGTAACTTAATGTTATTCTCCCACACATTTACTAAATCAAAGATATGGCACTACCTCGAATTTTCTGTTTCTGTTTTTCAGGGGAAGATGGTGAAAGGAATGGGAGGTGCTATGGATTTAGTATCCAGTACCAAAACCAAAGTGGTGGTTACCATGGAACATTCTGCAAAGGTAGCTCATGTTCTGCTTCTAGCCTGCTGCTCGTTGGCAATTCCTAACACACTGAAACCTAGTATATCAGGTTACCTGACTAGGCTTTCATTGTTTTCTCTGATTCATTGAAGTTGAAAACATTCATATTTTAGAGAGAAAAGTTACAAGTAAAGTCTGTTTATTGTTACTTGATGAAATGGTTGTTTAACTTTTAGTGACGCAAACCCTGAGGATTTTCTTCAAATATTTACCTTGTGTGCAAATTAAAGGACAAGCCATAATGTCTCCAAAGGCCATGAGGAAATGCTTTGTTTCAGATGCTTTGAATCTGGTATAAAGAAGCTTGCTCTGGTTGCTATCTGGGCACGAAATGGAAAGTGTGACAAAACTTGGGTTTTCAACAGCTGTCCTTTCAAGGGGAGACTATAGCGTCCTACCAAGCCTGTGAGGTTACATTTTGAGAAAGATGTTAGGAAATGGTAGACTTTATGATAGCCAGTCTTTATTCTGAAAACAGTTATGCTTTTACTTTCATAAATCATCAACTATCTATGCCAGGATTCAACTATCACCAAAACGAGAAAAGAATGATTGACTTTATAGAACTACATTGATAATTATGATGATGAAATTAACAACATCTTACACCAGTAATGAAACCAAACCTGTTGAGGTTGAGCTGATTCCATTACCCCACATGCTTCAGAGTAGAACTGTGTCTATATGGTTTTTCATGATCGTAATATTACAGAGGAGTACTGGTGGGGCACTGTCAGGTAAGCACTGGACTTCTAACCGCAAGGTTGGCAGTTCAAACGTATCAGTCATTCCTCAAAAACCCTATACAGAGCTGCTATGAGATAGAACAGACTCAACAGCACTTAATAACAATTTTAACAGAGGTATCGGCCCTTTCATCCACCATGCATTGAGAGTTTTGTATTAGCAATGCACTGAGAACTGTGTGTTTATGTGTGTATGAGTGAATGTCAAAAAAATTGTGGAAAAAATTATTTTTGAATCCTATTTTTTCATGAAGTTTTAAAAAATCCCCTCAGAATCCTGGTACTCACTATGCTGTCATTATTTTTCTGGTTCCAGAAGTTCAGCTGCAGAGAGGTTAAGTAATTAGTAGTCACACAACTAGTGGGACTGAAATTAGATGTGATGCCTCTGACTCCAAAGCCCAATTATCAGTATAACTGTCTTCCCTATGTCCAAATCAATGTCTGTGCACCTCAGTTTAACTGATAGGAATCCCGAGACTTCTGCTGTTTTGCCAAGTCAATACTAGGTTTGTATTCCTTTCTTTGTCCATTTTTGTAGCCCAGGTGGTGCAGGAACTAAAGCATTCAGCTCCTTACCAAAGATTGCTGGTTTGAAACCACCCACTACTCCATGGGAGAAATATGAAGCAGTCTGTTTCTGTGAAGATTTACAGCCTTCAAAACCCTATGGGGCAATTCTAGTCTGTCACAGGACTGGGCAGTGTTTCATTCTGTTGTGCATTAGGGTAGCTATGAGTTGGTACCGACTCGATGGCACTTAAAAACAACATTGTTTTTTTGGACAGCAATGGGTTTGAGCTTTTTTTTTTTCTTGTTGTTGTTCATTTCCCTTTGTTCTTCATCATCCCCAATTTCAAAGCAAAATCCACTGATTCTTGCTTTGAGGCTTGCTAATTTGAGCAGAAATAGTTCATTTACCCAATTTTTCTACAGATATGAAGCTGGAAGATTTGCATCTGACTTGCTTCTCATGGGGAGTTCTGTTTCAGAGTCATGAGTGCCTTGAAACAGCTTTGTTATGAAAACTGTAATAAATATGGAATTATCATAAATTGTTTGGTAAACAGTAGGAAGTGAGCAATGGTGCATAAATATGGAACAAGAGAAATGAAATCAACACAGGTGACTTTTGTGAGATGACTTACAAAAACATCCAAAACATTTCATTTCATAAGTAAAAGAATGCCAGGCATGCAAATCAAACACAGACCTCCTCTGAAACCAGTGTCTATTTGGAGGAAAGTCTTTCTGACGTTCCTTTTGTTGTTACTTGAATGTTGATGCAGAGACACTGAAGTCCAACTCATTTGGATCATTCGTGTGCATTGGTTTTCAAAACATCAGCCCTGTATTTAGCAAATTGTCATTTTTGTGTGTTTCTGAAATGTCTTTTCTCCCCTCAGCTGGAATCCCTGATAGAGGAAAATAAATGGAGCCTCAAACTTATGACTAGAAATTCCTTATGAAAGCTTTTCACAAAAGCAGCTAATATTTGTACCTCTTCTCTCTATGTGGAAATTGTTAGTGGGTTTAGACCAGAATTGGAGTGAAGTATTTTTGTCCCAGATACTTTCACATGAACAAATCAACAAAACTGTACTTCAGGTGAAAGTAATAGTTTGTCCCCACTTAATAGTTACATACCATTGAAAACAGAAGTTTCTCTTCTTGCCTCTTCATGTTTTACTCTTGGCCTGAAATGTGTGGTTGTTTTTTATTGCTCATCAGTATCATCCATCAAAATAAATGGAGAAAAGATTGAAGTTGTCAAAGACTTCATTTTGCTCAGATCAACCATTCATGGAAGCAGCAGTCAAGAAATCAAATGACATAATGCATTAGGCAAATCTGCTGCACAAGATTTAACGTTTTGAAGAGCAAAGATGTCAGTTTGAGGACTAAGGTGCACCTGACCCAATCCAGGGTATTCCGATGCTTGTGAAAGTTGGACAGTGAATAAGGAAGACTGTAGAAGAATTGATGCATTTGAGTTATGGTGTTAGAGAAGAATATTAAAAGTACCATGGACTTCCAAAACAAACAAACAAATCTGTGTTGGAAGAAATACAGCCAGAATGCTCCTTAGAAGCCAGGATGGCCAGACTTCATTTTTCATACTTTGGACATAGTACCAGGAGGGACCAGTTAGTTCCTGGAGAAAGACATCATGATTGGTAAAGTGGAGGGTTTTTGAAAATGAGGAAGAGCCCCCAGCAAGATGGATTGACATGGTGGCAGCAGCAATGGGCACTCAATTATAGCAAAGGTTGTGAGGTTGGCACAGGATCAGGCAGTCTTATGTTCTATTGTGCATAAGGTCACTGTGAGTTGGTACTGACTTGATGGCACCTAACAACATCAGTATTGTTCCCAGCCCAGCTCAAGAGAACACAGGGCCCTTTCTACTTATCTGCAGTACTTGCTCTGGTAAGATTGGTAGGGGAGGAGAGGTTGTTCACATCTGCTAGCATCTCCAGTTAATGACCTGTTGTTACCTTCCACATTCTGGCTAACTTCCTCAGCTTCCTGATTAAGTGAACTGTCTAGGGGACTAATCCCTAGAGTCTTGTAAAACGTAGGAGTGAGAAGTTTGCAATGAGGAATTAAAACCTGAGCAAAGAGCAATGATCTTCTTGTATTCTGTGCTACTGATTTTTTTTTTTTTTTCCTCCAAGTGGGAGGAGCTGTCAACTGATTTTCAAGGCAGGTTTCCTTTTACTCCCTGTTCTTCTCTGTAGGGCTATTAAAGCTGCAGCTTGTTTAGAAATATAACTTTTCTTTCTTGCCTTTTTTTTTTTTTTTAAGCAGACAAAAGAAACTCTTTCCTTTTAAGTCTTTGCAACCAGCCATTTCCTTTAGGGGACAGCAGCTTCTGAATTGGGCACTTGGCTGCCTATCAGTGCTGCTCTAGGTAAAGAGCCTAACATCCCTGTTCCCCCTGCCTTAACACTGCCGCTGGAGATAGTACACAGACACAGGCTTCAAACTGGCATCGTGACATGATTTTCATCTATATTTAGGTGTTAGGCTGACAAGCAACATTGGCAGTGTTTTTGGTGTCTTCCCAAAAATGAAGGAGGGGATTAGCAGTGTGAGTTTCTACCAGGTATAAAGCATTGTGCTTGGCATTGCACATGCGTTATCTCATTAGTTTATCAGTGATTAGTATATAGGCAGATAAGAAACTTGCTCAGGTAAAAGTGATTGAGCCAGGAGTTCGAATCACTTTTGTGCAGTTCCTATACCTGCTTTCTGTATCACCATTTACCAAAGCTACTGAACTCCTGGTCTGGTGCTGTAGAGTCAGCACTGGACCATGAACCACAATGTCAGCAGTTCAAACTAACCCACTGCTCCTTGCAAACCCTACATCGGGTCTCTGAGTCAGAACTGACCCAACAGCACTTAACAACAACAACCAAAGCTACCTCTACACGAGCACCCTATCAACACCTACCCTTTTCTGAAAGATTCAAGTTTCAGATTCACTGTCTTTTCCTTATTTTTTTTTCCTGGTCAAACTCTCTTTGCTTCTATAAAACAGGTATCAACAAGGCATTTATTTAGAAGTCCCATGCACTGCCAAAAAAAAAAAAAAAAAAAGAATCTGTGTTGAAACAAAGTCAAAATGCGCTACAGACGTCAGGATGGTGACACTTTGCCTTTCGTACTTTGGACATATTCTCAAGAGGAACTAGTTCCTGAAGGACATCATGCTGGGGATAGTGGAGGGTCAGTAAAGAGAGGAAGACACCAATGAGATGGGTTGGCACAGTGGCAGCAGCAATGGGCTCAGGTAGCAAAGATTGTGAGGATGGCACAGGAAGTGCTTCGTTCTGTTGTGCATAAGTTTGTTATCAGTCTGAATCAACAAAAAAGCTCCTCATGTTTCCCATTTCTAGGGTTTTTAAAATTCTGTCTTCCTTTTTTTTTCAAACTTTTTATTGCTAATAGAGTGAAAGTTTACACAAGACAGAATCAGCTTTACATTCAACAAATAATAAACTTTATTTCATTTAAATGATTGCACCCCTCCCCCTCCATGCAACAACAATTATCCCACTTCCTCCCTGTGGTTTCTATTTCCATTCCATCCTCCTTCCCATCCCTCCTCCACTTTGACCTTAGGTGTATGTTGCCCCAAACCTTACTAGTGTTGCTGTCCCCTCCATATCTATTTACTGATTGGCTGAAAATTGGGCCACATGAGAAAGTTCCTTCCCAGTCTTG